TTTAAAATATAGGAAAAAAGGTATATTCACTGGACTTTATTTTTACTGAATCATTCCTTCAGCAAAAATAGCGAAAATTAATTCCAAGCGAAAATAAAGTATTCTACAGTATGAACACCAAACCTCAGAATGCATCAGGCATCAAAGTTCTACAAAGATTTTTGCAACAGATTATATGCACAGGAAATTTATTTTCTTTTTTTCGAGAAAAAACACCTTTCATTTTGATCTCTATGGAAATACATACCCAAAACGTGTTACATACACATACATGTACTTGTAACAGGAAAATAAAGCATTCTATGAGAATGTAAATGGGAAGATGTGTACCACATCTTTTCAGTGAGAGACCTCTCTCTGCAATCTGTGTTACTTTATTGTATTTTCAACTAAGATCCCACTGTGGGATACGGTTTCAATAAAGATTATTATTATTATTATTACAATGAGATTTTAGACTGTGTCTTGGATGGATAGATGAATGTAGTGAACCATGAAATCGTAAAGCAGTGAACATTTTATCACATGCAATGACTTTTACGATTGCTTTCAAAATACCAAATCACAAGAAATTGATAGAAGTGAAAACAAAATAGTTTACAGTGGTTGTACTTAAATTCCTGTGCAACATGAGAACACTTAACCCATTGAGCGCCATATTTTTTTCCTGCCAAAATTTTGATGCAACATCTCGCACATTTTTATATAATTTTTTGGTTAATTTCTCATTAACAAGAAAAAATTATACAAATTTATTTTTCTGAATGGTGAGAAAAGTAGATTTTGGCATTCAAACGGTTAAAATCCATGCATACAATGTACCTCTATCATAATCTGCGTCTACACTTTGTGACATTTACCATGAAATACATTGAATAGAAACCACATGGGTTAGTTATTGTATAAACAATTTACGAGTTGAAATCTTCCATTTAGTCACCAAACTTAACTAGATATTATAGTTATTGTATTGAAAATTGCAGGCATATTGGTTAGTATGTAAAAACTGACCTCACAGGTCAAAGTGAAAACATTGAAGGTCATACTTTCTAAAAACACAGAAGAGGATTTTACTGGTATTATTGAACAGAAACCTCACCTTAGTTTCCTTTTCAGGAACACCGAGCAAGAGATACGTGCCAATCATAACCTGATGCACCATCCGAGGCGGTTTCTGGTAGCTACGTATCTCAGCCACTGTAGATTGCTTCAAATTCATAATCTCGTCTCTCAGTCGTTTCAGACGTTTCAATTTCAGCAGCATCTTATTAGCATCAATCATCCTCTGCGGTAAATGAACGTCAAAGCCATTCTTTTTGACATGCGTAATGGTTTTATCCAGGTCATCCAGGTGTCGTCTGTCCATTGCGTCTTTCAGCCCTGTAAAATTGAGTAGATGAGATTTATAACGACTTCAAAGCTTTTAGTTTTAACATTTTCACATAAAAAATCTGGTGACAGAAAGCACCAATTCACTATGTTCAATTACCTACCACAGACTCTGCTCAGTCAAAATGACTATTTTGAACTGTAGGCATTAATCTGCGATTCAGCCAACGACGGTGAAATAAATCTATGCCAGGGGAAGCCCCATGATCTCAAGATTTTCCCTCACGTCTGCGAAAGAATAGAACATAAACCTACTGTGATCGGCATCATGTACAGCAAGAATTCTCTCTCCTTTCTTCAAATCGCCATGGTCATCAGATAATTTATGTAATTTAAATTCTCCCACAGACCATTTGATCTTGTCTCTATCTCTCTCTTTCACCGCCTTTCTCAGTTGTTTTCTGATTCGGTTGTTTCTCGCTCCTGAAAATTGCAAAATTAAGGGATCCAAATTAGTTTAAGAATATTGGAGTGAGTGCAGGCTTTATATATTCAACACAAATGTAGCTTTGATGATTGTAGAAGCTTCTAGACCAACAGGGACTTGTAAAGCTATATTTGATTGATACCAGTGTTATTCCACAATAATGAAGGGAATTTTACAGTTATACAGACAGAGAAAAAAGAGAATATAACTTTTTATTAATGAATAAAGTGAATTTTTCAATTCTAAATACCTCATACATAAACAGCACCGACAGTAAAAGCATGCAAAGTGAAGTCATCAACAAAAATACCACATCTGTGTATATTAAACAGATCGACACAGGTACCAAATGGAACAGACAGATGGCTTAACTTGGTAAACTATTGCTGAAGCATTCCATGTATGTCTGTAAATCTGTATCATTCTGTTAATCCTTTTCAAAAAGACCATGACATTAACCGCATTGCAAGGCCCTGTAAGGCATGATGGGATAATGATTTTAAGTCATTACTGTAAGCTTATAAACTTACTCTTGTATCTATCCTTGGCCTTCTTCTCTTCTGCCTCTGCTTGTTTCCTAGCAACAGCATCCTTTGCATTCACAGTTTTCTCTTTTGCAATCTTGGCAGCTTCTTCTGCTTCTTTTTCTTTTGCAATGGCATCCTGTAAATTCAAAGTTATTAGAATATTCAGTTATAGGTAAAGACTATGAGGTATCACTGTGAGCTATGTGTGTATATCACTGTGGAAGTTAATCATTTAACTGCATTAGTTATT